AGGTGGAAGAGGTGCAGATGGATCCTCGCAAGTCTCACCTCCTCCACCGCCCGCTCGCCATCACCTCCTCTCTCCGGGTTCGACACACACCTCCACCGCACACCCTCTCCGACTTCCATTCATATGTTTGGAAGGACATCGCCGACCTCTCCCGACCTCTTCGTCTTCATCTTCAGCGCCGCCTCTTCAACTCGACCTCTTCATCATCTTCATCTTCATCTTCTCATCTCCAGTGCGCGTGTGTGTCTTTGTGCTTTTAGTTTATTTATTTCTCTCCGCTCGCTGCTGCTGCGGACAGGAGGAAGGAGGACGCAAGGGACTCCCCGTAACGTAACGTAAACAAAAACCTTAATTGTTGTGCTTTTATGTATAGCAAAAAAATCATCAATACCCCCCATTCAACTCCCTTGTGCAACTTCTTCATCAAGCTTGCTTCATTCAAGCTTGTCTTCTTGTTCTTCCAGCTTGCTCCCACAAGGACAACTTTAGGAAAAAAAGAAATGGTGAAAGAAACACAAAACAAGACTTTGTGTAGCGACAAGAGAGATGGACGCAACACCAACAAGCGAGCTTGTCTTTGCAGGCGTGGAGGCTGGGTTCGTTTTGGGGTTCCTCTCTTTCGCGCTGGGAAGAAAAGCAATATAATAACATCTCTTCTTTCTTTCCCAATTCCCTTCAATCGAATCACTGTGTCGATCGCTTGCACACCACCAGGGGCACGTCGTTCTCGGTGGGTCTGGCCCGAGGCAGCGCCGAATCCATCTTCGCGCGCGCCAACTTCCCCACAACCACCCCCGACGAGACCATCGGCCGCGTCGTACGCCGGCCACACTCTCCTGCCCATAATTAGAGTAATAATAATAACAATAATTAATAACAATTAACAATCAGGTGGCTTGGCTGCGCGAGCAAAACGCGAAGACGCCGTTCCACGCACTGGGCATCGCCTCCTTCGGCCCCGTCGACCTCGACCGCGCAAGCCCCACGTACCAACACGCACACGCTGCCATTGCGTGTGTCGTGCTCATTGAGCGTGTTCCGTGTGTGTCGTGTCGTGTTGTTGATCGTGTACGCGTGCAGGTACGGCTACATCACCACCACGCCCAAGCCGGACTGGGGCAACGTGGACGTACTCAGCCGCTTCTCCGAATTCAATGTCCCCACGGTATTCACGCCCGCGCACCACCCTTCATCAGCGCCCATCATCATCACCACCACCACTGTCTTCTTACTTTTTCACTTCGCGTGCCGAACGACTCACGACGGCCTCTGCGCGATCAGGCGTTCGAAACGGACGTCAACGCGCCCGCCGTAGCGCACCTCGCCCAGTTCGGCCAGCCGTACTCTCTCTCTCTCTCCAACCTCCACCCAACCTTTCTTGTACTCGACAGTTCGTTGATTCGTGTCGTTGGTCGTGTCGTTGGTCGTGTCGTTGGTCGTGTCGTGTCGTGTCGTGTCGTTGGTCGTGTCGTGTCGTGTCGTGTCGTGTCGTGTCCAGGTCATGTGCGTATATCACCGTGGGCACGGGCGTGGGCGTGGGTATTGCCGTGGAGGGCAAGCCCGTGCACGGCCTGCTCCACCCCGAGATGGGCCACATCTTGTACGCGTGGCCACGTCCCCCCTCCCCCCCGCTCGCGCTCTCCGTCGCATTCGTTCTTACAATCGGTGGACCACAGCGTACGGATGGCCAAGGGCGACGACTTCGAGGGCACGTGCCCCTTCCACGGGGCCTGCGTCGAGGGACTCGTGGCCAGGTATCTCACCACCCGGGAGCTGGTTTCCTTCTGTCTTTCTTGTCTCACTTTTTCTCTCTTTCGTTCTTTTTCTTCATTCTTGGTCTTACCTGCGTGTGCGTGTGCGTGTGCGTGTGCGTGTCGATCGCAGTCGTGCGTTGGCCAAGCGGTTCGGCGTGGAGCGGACGGATCTGTCGGACGTCGGTATGGACTTACCGCCCCTTAGCCCTTGGGGGGGGAGGGACGAAAGAACGAAAGCGAAAGCTGACCGGGGCTTGGTTGTTGGTCAGCTGACGACAGGGAGGAGTGGGACCACGTGGCCTACTACCTGGCCCAGCTCTGCGCGGCCCTCGTGCTGACCGTATCGCCGCACCGCATCGTCATGGGCGGCGGCATCATGCAGCGGGTACGCGACTGTGCCACCCTCCCCCCCACCAAACACTGGCTGGAACTAATGCGGCCCGCGGCGTATCGTATACAGCCCACCATTTTGCCGCTCGTGCACAAGCACGTGCTGGCACTGCTCAACGGCTACATCAAGGTGCCCGCCATCACGGGTACGATCCCTCCCCTCTTCACAATCTCTGTGCGTGTGCGTGTGCGGTGGTGCGTGTGCGTGTGCGTGTGCGTGTGCGTGTGGTGTATGTGTGTTTCTCACAGGGATGTGTTCTGGTGCGCGTACACAGAGTCAGGCATTGGCAACTACATCACGCTTTCGCCGTTCGGTGGCAACGCCGGCCTGGTGGGCGCCTGCGAGCTTGCTCGGCTGGCCCTGCCCCACAACGCGTCTCCTGCGATGTGACCACTTTTTCGCTCGCCCGCAGGTCGCCGGTCTGGGCAGCACCGTTTTGCACATCGCAAAGTGTCTGGAGCGAGCTCTGCACCAACGCGTAGAGGTGGCCATAAATGACTTGCAGCCTCCCCATGTTGATACCGCCCGAGAGCAGGCCCAACTGTTCGTTGATGACGCGAGTGATGTGACAGCTTTCATCAGCCCGAGGTTCGCCGTTGATCTCCCACACCGACCAGCGCTTGAAGTCGGTCAGCACAGTGTAGACAGGGATGTTGGGCGAGAAGAAGAACTTTATGCATACTCGGACTTCCTCCTCTTCGCAGGAGCACTCGTCCTGTCCGCAGCACAGACAGAACTCTTCAGACTCAAGAAACACGTCCACAGCGTCATCATCATCACCGAAGCTTCTGGTCCACATGAGTGTTCTGGAGTTGGTAGATAATAAATAATTCGCTATTATGAGGTCACATTGGCGGCTCGCGCTACGGGCAGTCGTAGCCCATGTCGCTGGTGTTGTTGTTGGCAGCGCCGGAGGACGAGGTGCTGGGCGGGGTGGCGAGCATTTCCGCCAGCCAGCTTGTGGTCATGGGCGACAGCGGCGACACCGGCGGCGAGTTGATGCCCGACGACGAAGTGGTGGAGAGTCCGCCGGCCGACCCTGCTCGCGATGATGCCAGTGATGACGACGATGACGGCGGCGTCGACGGCAAATCTTGCTGGGTCAACGACGACGTGGCTGTAGAAGAAGATGAAGAAGATGATGATGATGAAGAAGAAGCGGCGTTGGAAGAGGGTTGTTGTTGCGTGGCGGCGATGTCGGATTCGAGGCACGGGGTGAGGGCGAGCACGGGCACCGGGGCCGTGCTCCGGAGGTATTCGTGGATGAGTTCGTCCCACTCCTGCTTCTCCTGGTCCCGCAGCCGGTCCCGCAGTAGTTTGATCCGCTCCTCGTCTGTGCAGAAAGCCGATGATCAACAACCGTGCGCCGGTCATAGATATATTATATATATATTAATGTATGTATGTATGTCATATGTGTAATAAAAAAGTAATGTACCGTTCTGCGAATCGTAAGAGTTGTTGTACACGAAGGACTTGTCGACGCCCACCATCTTCTCGATGGACGCGCACAGCCATTTCACCTGTGCGCACGCGGGGTGGGATTGGGGATTTAGACGGCGACGTTGCGGACCAACCCCCAGAGCGGCACACTGCTGTGCCCCAGCGGTGGTGGT